AAAATTTATTGATCAATGTGTCCAAAATATAAATTAATTTTTATAAAAATAAAAATATTCAATATTTCAAAAATTAATATATTGAAAAATTAATTTGTATTTAAATAGATTAATATTAAAATAATATATTAATTTTTGAGAATTACATTGGTCAACGATGTTAATACATCAATCTCTTATCAGGCCTTATCCCTCACCCTTAGGCCAGATTAAGTTATACATCGTTTTGATGTATTAAGAGATTATGTTGTATAAGCTTATACTATATGATGGTCACACCAAACAACTGAAAATGTTATAATGTATAGTATAAGCTTATACTATCATGCCTTATACGTCACACCAAACAGGCCTAAAGAGTGTTACTAGCTGTAGCACTTGTTCCCAAATTACTATGAATGTTTAAAGTCGATAACAACTACAATCCAGGGGTGGCAATTTGGGTTGACCTGCCCCGCCCTGCCCTGCCATTGTAACACCTCGTATATATCCGGTAATGTTATCATACTATCGTATTAAGTTGCGCTTAATTAAAAATGCGGAATATCTTTTTCTTTTCAATTATGAAGTCATTATCATTACCAACTTGCTTATTAATCAATTAATAAAACATCGCATGTATGCAATTGCAATAAAACAGCTAACTGAAATACCTCATTATAATTAAAATAACATAATGTATGTCTCTAGTCACGGAACTACAACACGTAGACCGGACCACTAGCAGTTTATACAACTCTACTCAAAAGTACTAACAACATAGTGGCATGGACAACTCTCATGCTCACCCAAATAAGGCAACAAAGCCCAACATAAGTCTCAACATCAACAACAGAATAATAATGCGGAAAACATAAACAGCATCCAGTCCAGTCATGCTAGCGAATAAGCAGTAATATCATCAACTAAGCTCTGGCCTCCTGCCGCCAGAGGCATCAGTCACCATACTACCTGAACCTGAAATAAGCATTCCCCAAACGTGGGGTGAGATCTCTAAACAAGAAATCTCAGTAAGGCAAGTGGTCCTCAAGGATCTTCCACCCCAAGCTCACTTACATGTGCAATATAAGTTTAAAAGCAGTTCATCAATATCATTTCTAAAACAGTGCAATGCAGCAGATAATCATGTCATGTGTGTTAATACTATTCTACTGATCAGAGAAATGCAGGAATACGTCTATTACCTACACAATATGCAAGACGCTACTTGCACCCACCCACGGACTCACCATCTTGTATGACGTCACATACTCAGGCTTACCGACTAAGTGGAAACAACATATACATATTATAAGTCATTGCACATATCAGCTCAAAAGTATTTCAAAATATCCAAAGCATGTAACACAACATGCATATAACCATACCCCCATGGGACATGTTGGAACCACAACATGGCTAAACCGAGGACACGAAAGCTTACCTTGCAAGCTAACACCCAAAGCCAAGAGTCCACAGCTCAAAGTCCAAACACAGCAGATTCACAATCTGTTATGGACCAATAATATATCAATAAACATGCACCGCAAGCATACAATATTAAGACAACGCCTTTCCATTACGTTTTACGTGTTAAGGCTTCACACAAGCCATAAGCCCTTAATCATATGATTCTGACTTACATTAATTAATTACAGAAGTTCAACTTCCTCAAACTAGGGTCCACAAACCCATAGATCAGTTCTGGATGAACAGTACGCTACTGTTCCTCGCAAACCCAGGATATCCAGATATTCCTCGGGAGCATATCCGGATATCACATATCCGGATATCCAGATCCCCATATCCGGATATCAATATCCGGATATTTGTCAACCAAATATCCGGATATTTCGCGACAGAATGCAGTTTCTGCATTTCGCGAAGATATCTTTCCAAGTTTCCATTTTTAACACTTAAACATGTTAAAGCATGCATTTTTATACCCTTTAGGTTTACATACCAGTTGGTCACTTGCTTAACCCATTAACATGCAAAGACATCACCTTTAAACCATTAAAACTCATGATCAAGGTTGTACAACTCACCAAAGGTTCAAAACAGAGGCAAAGGGCTGCTCTTGGAGCTCACAACCAGCTCCCAAGGTTCTGACTTGAACACCAAACGAAAATGCCTTCACAAAGGTTGGTTCTTTCACACCAAAGGTCACCACTTGGACCTCAAAATGCCATGACCATGGCTCAACTACACCAACTCCCAAAGTCAGCACCCAAAGGCCCTCAAGACAGCCCACCAACTCAGAAATGGAGCTCACAACACACTCACCCAAGTATTTCCCACTCACCCAAGGTGTTTTGGAGAAGAAACCAAGGAGAAAGGAAGCTCCTTGGCTCACAACAATGGAGGAGAAGGTGGCAAGATGGTGGCTGACTCAAGACTCAGCAAAACTCACGTAGGAGGCAACAATTTATGACCTAGGATCATGTGCACTAAGCTAATATAGTCACTTAACCAATTAACACACAGTATTAATTTTAATTTCTACGCTTAGCATTTTAATCCCAAACTCAGGATTCTTAACCTACTCAATTTTACAAGAATTATCATATTTTTCTTATATTTTTCTGAGCACCTTTCCGGTACGCGCTTTTCATAGCCAGTATCAGTTTCTGGCACCAGTTCTTATTATTTTGACTTGAAACTCGTTTTACAAGTCCTACATATTATTCTAGTAATTATCATGCACTTATTATAATTTTCTGGTATAATTTTTCGGTACGCATTTATACCGACTAGCAGAACCGGTATCTGTACTTTTCTTTCGAAAAACGACTTTCAGCATTCTTACTTACTTACTATAATTATTAGAGCCTCATAATAATTATTAGGGTCAATTATGGAATTATTTCCTAATTTCACATAATTGATTAATTAACTTCCTTAATTAACGGTGCGGGTTCTTACAGCCATCAACCCGCCAAAAACGGGGCGAGGCGGGTTGACCAACCAAAAAATATGGGTTGGAAAAATGAACCCCGTTTTATGGTGGGTTGGCGGGTCAACCCACCAACCTGCCAATTAAAAAGTAATTAATTAAAATTCAAAAATAAATTATATTTTATGAATTTTTATAATATTATTTTATTTTATTTTACACTTCTCTATATTTTTTTAGTCTCAATCTTAAATATATACTAATATTTGTCAAACATTCTTTAGGAATTCATATATAGATAACATTTGTCATAAATACAATTGTTATTCTTTATTTTTTCTAGAAAGTATTAGGATAAAAAAAATTTGGATATCACAAAAATTTAAGGACTAATGAAATACTACATAATTGTAAAAAAAAAAATTTATAACTCGACGGGTCGAACCGTTTTGACCCACTTCTAGGCGGAGCGGGTTGAGGTGGGTTGAAAACCTCAACCCAACCCGCCCCGTTTTGGCGGGTTGACCCGCCAGGCTCAACCTATATTGCCACCCCTATTACAATCCGTACTGGTTTGTTTTTGGGTTGATGAGTTATAGGTTAAATAAAGGGTTCGCTTTTTCTGCAATTACTGCAGATAAGTTATCTGCAGTAAGCCCAATACGACGTCGTTTTGGGACGAAAATCATGGTGCTTTTACAATTTTAATTTATTTCAGGGTTATAGTAGTCTTTATATTTATAATTTTTTAAGATTTCAATACCAAAACGACGTCGTTTTGAGAATAAATACAGATAACTTATCTGCATTAACTGCAAAAATATTTTTCCCTTAAATAAAAGCCGGAAGTTGTCTGTTTATGAGACTAGTGTTAAATATAGGTCAAGTTTGGTTAATTAAAAGTTTGAATTCATTTTCTTGGTTCAAATTTCTGTATTAATTAAATATTTCAAGTTTAATGAGATAAATTCAAATTTGTAACAAACATTTTCAATCTTCCTCGGTATCATTTTAGAAAGGATTTAAAATTTTAATCATAAATTCGTTCCAAATAGAATTTTCTCCTGTAAAGGATATTGTAGTTTATCAAAAATAAATAAATAATAATAATAATATAATACATGAACTCAAACGGAATTGCCTCCGCCAAAAATTGCATGCGATACAATCAACTAAAATAGTTTATGCAAATAGGGTACCATGACGTAAGGTTAGGGGGTGGTTCAAGAAACAAGAATGTTGTAAACAAAAGGCAGAGAATGATATCTAATGTTGTGAGTGGATAAGTCATTTACGGAGTGGAATGTTATTTTTAAGTGTATTTCGAATACTACATGTTAACATATTTTGTTAAAGTGTTTGATGAAAGAGACCAAAGACCAAGTGTTGTTGTCCATGAGGGCATGATATTCAAGGCATGAGGCTTACACACGTTTTAATTGGCTGATAAATTAGGAAGTTATGGTCCGTCAGTCCATTTGATTAATGATTTTTGTTTATACCCCTTTTCGAGGATGGCGTGTCACTTTGATATCCTAGTACTAGAAAAGCACAAAACCCAAAAGTCTTGGTTTGTGTACACGCGTCTAGACCTAATACATCGCTCCCATTTCCAACCACTTTCGTGCTTGTAATTATTAACCAGTGGGATGAAGGAGTTCATCGTTCGTGTTAAATTTCAAGTATTGATTAGTCGGTTGTAATTATTAACTAGGTCATGTAAAATTTTAACTCCATTCCCGTTCAGAATTGAGTTAGGATTTGAATATTATAGTGATAAAACTCTATTGGTCCAACAGTTGTTAGGGGCAGAGGAAGAGGTGGTATACCTGGAAAAAAAAAATTAAAAAAATTAACACTTAATTTGTATTAGGATTCTTTCTAAATTATGTGCAGGATACATTGTTATCAGACATTTGAGATTCAAAAATATACGTAGACCTGAGACAAACACAGGCTCATTCAATTCTTATTATGATGTAGTTGCCACAGTAGGGTCGAAGTCGAAGGTGTGTACCTCCAAAGACGCTAACACTCAAGTTAGATAAGGTACAAAATGAATTGAAGTACTGGAGTCAAAGATTTGAGCGTGATGAGTATGAGCTGCCTCTTATATAACATAGTGATTAATCTAGGATAAAATCTCTTCCAAATTGCGTGCAGGATACATCGCTACAAAATAGACAAGAGATTCGGGATTTAAAATTAGTATGAAACTTTCGCAAAGGCACTATCCATCACCTAAGGCGGAAACATTAAAGTATAACAAATTAACAACAAATGAGAAACACATCAGTCTTCACTCTTTGAATATTTCTCCCACTTCTTCACAATCTCCAGAAAAATTTCATTCCATGTGTCTATAGGCCCTGGCAAGCACCAATGAACACAATCATTCTGCACACGTTCTCGAACCCCGTTAGCAAATGGAAAAGGATACATATAAGGACCCGGGTGGCCATCTGGTCTCAATAATGCTAATTTGCTTACATCCAATGCCTCCAACCTAAACCTTCCAGTTTCACTGGCTTTTGCCTTGGCATCTTCCAATTCTTCTATCTCAACCTTTCTCATCTCAGCATCCATTCCTTCAAGTTGCTTCTCCTCATTTCTATAAGGCTTAGTCTTTGGACAAGCACCAGTCTTATCCCAATCACCTTCAAAATGATGCGGTGTAAATGTCGTCACAATTACATCAATTCCATTGCCTTTACCTCCTCTCCTATCAATTATGCTATTAAGGGTAGTCCTTAAAGCCTTTCTTAACACATCATAAAACCCAATCTCAGTGTGATTAAGACCAGGACAGTAATGACAACCCAATACTGAATCACCCTCATAGTATACTGCTGGAAGCAAAAACCAATGACCAAATGAAAGCACAATCATGTCCATTTGATCCATATCCCTTGTCCACCTCTTATCAGCATGATCCAAATACAGCTTATTATTAGGCCTTGTATTTGATTTCTCATCACCTTGCACAAGAAAAGGGGACCAATACAAGGAAATGCTTGCATTGTAAGAAGGAAAGTGCCACCTGCGAAATTGGTTGTCCTTGCCATTTTGGTAGACAAGGTTAGGAGTTGAAGCAGTGGCTAACATGCAAAGGAGGGACTCTAATTGGTTCCTGGCCATAGAATCCCCAACAAAAGCTACATGCTTGTTCTCAACGAGTTGTAGAAAAGTATGAGGTTCAAACCTTGGAAGATTGCATTGATTTGGTTTCCATCTCCAATAAAGATAGTCCAAGTCAGGCCTGCCATGAATGATGCAGTTTCGGCCTTCTTTGATTCCACCACAGGTTGTATCATTGTACAAAGGGCCTCTGGTGTCACGGACCCATTCTCCATTAGAGTAGTCACATTCATAAGCTTTTTCCTTTTCTGCAATTAAGAACAATCAAGTATAGTAAACCAACAAACCCCATATCCCAAGTTGCTAATTATAATTTAAGAAAAAAAACATCCACTAGCAATTATATAACTTTTAACAAGAGGAAATTGTGCTTGCCTATACCTGCAGAAGAAGCAGAAATATTGATGGGGCTGGAATGAGGAAGCTCAGTTTCTGGAGATGGAGAAAAGGGTATATGGTAAAAGTATAAACAAAGCAAAGCTATAGGAAGCAGTAAGTAGATAGCCCAATTAAGAATTCTCTTGTTGAGGGAAAGGGATATCTCTTTGAATGGCTTTGTAGTTCCCATTTTCAAAGCCTTCCTTTTCTGCTAAAATTTCCTCTCCTTATGTTATGTGTCTTTCAGGTGTTTTTTGGTTTTTGCAGGGAAAGTCAAAGAGGGAGAAACAGAGAAGCAGGTTTCTTGGGTTATTCATTCAGTTTGAGAACCACATCGTAGGATCTCCATTACCTCTCTAACTGATTTTCAGAAATTCTATGTTGGAACTTTATGGTCATAGAACATCGCTATTCCAGTTTTGTCCTGGCTCCTTGTTATTGTGATGTAAACAGAGATTTATATAAAGTAGTAAAGCTAAAGTCACATACATACCTGTCAGAAAGAATGTAACTAAGACCTATGCCTATGTTCAGTGATAACTTTATAGTAAGAAAAAAAAAATTGCATTTATGTTTGATTGTTTTAATTATCATGTTAATGTTACAGCTCTTACTATTTATTTAGTTATTATTGCATTAATTTGAAATTAACAGTATTTAAATTTGTTTATTTTTATCGTTAATTTCAAATTAATCCAATAATAATTAAATAGGTAATAAAAATAATAAATTTAAATTGATAGTAAATATAACCATTCATATCTTAATTATGCTGTTGCAAGAGATATAAACGTAATTGTTGCCTATGATATGCAAGGACTGAATCGTCTATACATATGGGAAATGTGAAAGCAGGGTAACAGGGTTTACCCACTTCACATTGCTGGCTTCGTGGTAATGTAATACTGGTTCCGTGTACTTATCTTGATGGAATTGTAGAAGTTTGACTTAGTAGTATGATTTTTAGAAGAAAAAATTGGATGCTGGAGTTGTTAACCTACTTTGAACACTTCATACTTTCTAGATTAAAAAACTAACTCTAATGACAATCATGTGAAACATCTACAATAATGCAAGAAAAGCTTTTTGTTAAAAAAAATAAATTATTTATTTATTTAAACTTCATGCTTTTTAACTGTTGCGATAAAAAAAAAAATTTAAATTTATACTCGTTATAGTGATAGGGACAATTTATTTACCGTTTTGGTGTAATGAAAACAGGCGAATCCTCATCATGAATTCACTCACCTAATTAAAAATTCTAGAATTTGATTCGTATTAATGTTAATTGATATAAAAGTATTAATAATTTAATGTTGTTCTATCAATTATATGAACGCATCTCTTTATTTTACAATTAATTCAATGTCATTGAATTTTTTTTTTTTTTTTTGTAATAAATGTCATTGAATTTTAATGAATGTATAAACATGGCTATTAGCAAAAGAGATTTTCATCTTTTTCGGAGAGGTTTAAAATTTTAATCTTGAATCTCTTCGAACAGAATTATTTTCCATGAAAGATACCTGAAATTTATGCAAAAGAAGAAGAGAGATTTTAACGTGTAAATACAATTATTTTACATATAATTCTAAAATGTCATTATTCTCAAACCGAATTTTAAGTGTAAGACATAAAATAAAATAAAAGTCATATTATACTGAAAAGATCCATATTGAAGCTTTTGTCATTAACTTCATATATTAAAATATTTCTTCATCATCTCCAAAAAATATATATATATTTCTTCATTAATTATGAATCAGTTAATCTAATATGACTTTAAATTTAGGCACAAATACTTTCTAATGAATAAATTGTGTTATGTGTATATTATTTTATTTTGTAACACTATATTTTTTATAAAATAACGTACATAAAGTAAAACAGTTTAGATTAATCTTTTTCCATGTTTTCATTACCTGAATTCAAATTATATATATATATATATATATATATATATATATATATATATATATATATATAAAAGAATTCTATCAGTTACTTTTAAAAAAATTTAATCGCATTAAATTACTTTGCTATTTATATTTTATCACATTTCAAAATCACATTAACAGTGTTAAATTGCTATCAATGAAATTCCTTAATTTTTTCTAAAAATATAATCGTTTGAAAAATAATCATATTTTAAATTGTTAATATGAAGTATGCTCAGTCACGGAGTTGGGCCTCTTTAATATAAAAAACGATATTTTGGGCATATTTGAAATCTGTGTATTTTTTTTTTTTTTAAAGAATTTGAAATCTGTTTTTAAAATTAGGTTTTTGATTTTCAAAAAAAGAAAACTTGTTTAATAAGGGCTGTTTTGTAAAAATAATAATAATTTTTTATTTTTAGAATAAAACTTAGAGAACGTGGCTGTTACTTTTATTTTATATTTTGACTTTTAACTTAAAAAAATTACAGAAAATACTTGTTTTATTTATTATTCTACAAAATAATTTTAAGAAAAAAAAATAGAACACAAACCCTTTGTTACTTTTCAGATCTAAATCTTAATATAGTTAACAAAGAACTCAATTCTTTTTTATTTTTGATCAGCCATTCTTTTAATTATCAATTAACCACTATTTGAACTATTTTTTATTTTATTATGTCCATTAATTTATTCTAAGATCACTTATTTTTTATTATTTTTTATCACTTATCACTGTTTTTTAATCTAAATCCGTCTATATTTTGATTAATAAAGTACAATATATTAAAAATATAATTCGATCGTATTACATAATATAAATTTTTTATGCATTTTCAACTATTTATATCTTCATTCTCACATAAATTTCCAAATATAATATTCCTACGAGTCGATAACCGCATTGGCATTTCTAGAACAATGTTTGGGAAGGGCCGAAGCATTACTTTTTTTCTAGTGGATTAAAAAAACGTTAATCGATGGGGTTATTCAAGCATCACTCATTGATCCTTATTTTTATACGGTATAGGTTATTTTGCTTACTCTTAACTCTTAATTTGTCTAAGAGTATGCCTATCTTCTTAGTATTATTAGATTACAATTTTATTCAACGGTGAAGATTTATGATATAAAATAAACTCTTTTACCGCTTTCCTTCTCTCATTGCCTCTCACTCTTTCTCTCTCATCCCCTTTCTCTTTCTTCAATGGCACTTCAACATCAAATAAAGGTGCAAGCTTTTTTCTCAATTCATCCAATCCAGCTATTGCTATGAGCATTTACATAAAAAATTGAAATGGGATGTCAAAAAAGAAATAAATCCAGATGCCCTATGTTATGGAACCAAGTAGGTCTGTTATTGGACGTAACATAGAGATAACAGAGATCTTTTCCCCACTTCAAGGTAACAAATAAGATAAGAAGAAGTAGATAAGTTCATTCATTTCAAATTTCAACACCAAAGTATAAACATTACAATAATCATGGATTAATTCAAATGAAGGGTATTTCGTGATTTTCATTTTTTTTTGTAATTTTGTGGTTTATGTTGTGTTCAGATTCAATTTTTTTTTTTGAAAATTATACTCACGCAGAACCATCATGCCATTAATCATTCAGGTTGTAAATTACGCAAATCGATAGAGAGAAAGAGGTGGAGAGAGTAAGAGTGTGGAAGATAGTGAGGAGAAAGAAAGGGAAAAAAAGTTTATTTTATTATGTCAATCTCTACCGTTGGTTGAAATTGTAATCTAATGGTATTAAAAGGAGTAGAAAAGGTAGACAAAATAAGAATAGACAGAATAATCTATCTCGGTATCCCCTATCCTTTTTATACATAGTAAAATCCGTTCTCATTTTTAAAAACTGGCCAATTATAGTAGTAACCGCTCTCATCAACATAGATGTTTGTAAATATTTTCCATTACGAGCATAAGCAGAATAAGCATAATCAACCATTCCTCAATTAAAATTGTTCTCTCTTACCAAAGAAAATAAAAAAGAAATTTGATCTTTCTATTGCATTACGGCACTTTGTGTGGCGGAATGGTTAATGCAATGAATTAACAACACATGATGAATCCTCAATCTGCACTCCTTGGCTATTCCTCCATTCCTCCAACCTCTTCAGGATCTCAAGAAAAATCTCATTCCATGTGTCTATAGGCCCTGGCAAGCACCAATGAACACAATCATTCTGTACACGCTCTTGAATCCCATTAGCAAATGGAAAAGGATTCATATAAGCACCCGGATGGCCATCTGGTCTCAATAATGCTAATTTTGTTACATCCAGTACCTCTAGTCTAAACCCTTTAAATTCATTGGCTTTTGCCTTAGCATTTTCCACTTCTTCTATCTCAATACTTCTGATCTCAGCATCCATTCCTTCAAGGTTCTTCTCCTCATTTGTATAAGGCTTATTCTCGGAACAAGTACCACCCTTATCCCAATCACCTTCAAAATGAGACGGCGAAAATGTTCTCACAATCACATCAATTCCATTTCCTTTACCTGCTTTCCTCTCAATTATGCTATTAAGAGTAGTCCTTAAAGCCTTTCTTAATGGACCATAAAAACCAATCTCAGTGTAATTAAGACCAGGGCAGTTTAGGCTACCTAAAACTGAATCACCCTCATAGTAAACTGAAGGAAGCAAAAACCAATGCCCAAAAGACAGCACAATTAAGTCCATTTGATCAATATCCCTAGCCCACCTCTCATTAACATGATCCAAATACATTGTATTATAATATGGCCCTGTAGTGTCAGATCTTTGAACACCTCGCACAAGAAATGGGGACCAATAGAAGGACAAGTTTGCATTGTGAGAAGGAAAGTGCCACCTACGAGAACCTTTATGGTGGACACTTTTAGGTTTTGAAGCAGTGGCTAACAAGCAAAAAAGGGACTCTAATTGGTTCCTAGCTAAAGAGTCCCCAACAAATGCTATATGCCTATTCTTGATGAGTTGGAGAAAAGTGTTAGGTTCAAACCTTGGAAGATTGCACTCACTTGGTTTCCATCTCCAGTATATATAGCCCAAATCAGGCCTACCATTGGAAATACAATTCTGGCTTTTCTTAATCTTACCACAGGTGGTACCATTATATAAAGGGCATCTCTTGTCACTGACCCATTTGCCTTTGGAGTAGTCACATGGTTTCTCATAAGATTTTTCATTTTCTGCCAATAAAAAAAAAACATCTAGTAAAATTGTAGACTCAATTAGAAGATGAAATGAAATTCACTAGCAATTCTACAGAATTTATGACAAGATGTTGAATCCTTAGAATTTAAGACAAAATCCACTAGCAATTATATAGTTTTAAGAAGATGAAATCATATGCATGTATGTGTATACCTGTAGACGTAGAAGCAGAAAGAGAAGATTGGTTGGTGAAGGGGCTAGAATAATGGGAAAGCAGAGTAAAGGGGAGAGGGTCAAAGTATAAACAAAGAAGAGCTATAGGTGGCAGAGTATAGAGAGTAAAAGGAAGAAAACTCTTGGTGAAAGAGAGAGTTTTATCTTTGAATGGTTTTGTACTTTTCATCTTCAAAACCTTACAACCTTTTTGATTCCATTCCTACCTTTGTTTTTGATCTTTATGTCTCTTGGTTTCGGTCACATGTTCAGTTCAAAAACACACGTCTTACTGTGGACTGTTGTAGTTCTCTTATTTCCTCAATTTAATTGAAAACTTAATAGTAAAGAAAAAGTTTTCTTTTTCAATGTTGAATTTATTATTTTAATTCTTTATTTTATTTTTCTCTCACCGAACTCGATTTCTTTTTTTCTTTTTCTTTTTCTTTATCCTTACAAGAATAGCCAAAATGAAATATAATAAAATTTATTATTATGATAATTTTATATATTTCTCGTATTCTTCTCAAGAAAGTCATCAAAAATATATTTGCTTATTTCTTAATAAATTTAACTTTATCCAATCGATTACATATGTTCACATTATCATGTAAATTATAAAAAATTATAATTGTCCATATTTGTTGTAATTTATAATGTTATTCCAAATATAGGTTTTTTTTTATGAAAAGTCGTAATAGAATAAAAAACTATCCAAATTTATAAGGAAGTTAATAAGGTAGGTAACTGTTTGAAAATGTATAACTATACAGATTGAAAATTTAGATCATTAAAGACAAAATATTTGCAATTAAATGTGCTAATTGTGGATCAATGTATAAAGATCTGGATTAATTGTGGTATAGCTTAAGAAAGAGAACTAAGATCCATTTTAATTTTTTTTTTCAATAAAAAAACTACACTTGAATGTAGTTCATCTAGCCACCGGAAGTTGTTAAATTATTTTTACAGCAATATTTTATCATCGAATGAAATTTGTTACGGTTAGGAATTCGTGCAGTTCTCCAAAAATTACAAAGAATACTAAAGAAACTAATATTTTAAAAATTACTCTTATATTTACAATTTATTTTTCTTTACCATCTCTCTCAATTAGGGATGTAAATAGACTAAGCTTTGTCTTAAATAGTCGAAGTTTGTGTAAAAAATATTGAGTTTGATCTGACTTGTTAACATGTGAATGCCCTACATTATAAGTCTGACTTGACCTATATTTAAAAAATAAAAACTTTAGCCTAGGCATGTTTAAGCCTATTAAACATTTAACAATTAAAAGAATAACTAAAATAATATTACTTTATTATTCAAAATTATTAAAATAATAATTTTATTTATTTTATTTAAAATAAGTAATATGATATAGGCTTATAGGCCCAACATATACAAAAAAAAAAAAAAACCTATGGCCTGTTTTCTAAATAGATTTTTTTTAAAGTCTAGGTCTGTTCTATTTCATTATTTATAATAGGCCAAATCTGACCTAATATAGGCTAGGCCGTAGGCCCCTATAGACCGGCCTAGCCCATTTATATCTCTACTCTCAATTATATTTTTTGCTATTGAATTAAAATCAAATCAACGATTATAAAATAATAAGTGAGAGCAAATATCCTCTCAAAAATTACCCTGAGATGAAACGTAACCTTGATCCTGTTTACAGGAAGTAGATGATTTGAAATTCAAATATTATAAAAAATAATAAGATGTGTACGTATATAAATCAAGGGAAAAATTTTGTCCTTTTAAATGATACAACTTATATCAATTCACTATCACAAAGAGATGAGACCTACACCTAGGGTTGACTCGTAACCCGCCAAAAATGAGCCGGGTTGGGTTGACATAAATGAGCTACCAACCCGAGTCAACCCGACCCGATCCAACCTTGAAAAAACGAGCCAGCTCGCGGATTGGGGTTTTTTTTTAATTAAAAATAATAATATTAAAAGCCAAAAGCTACAGTCAGTCCACACTTTCTTAGTTTCTTTCATCGTTTTCAACGAGCCAGCTCTAATCTTCTCACTTAACATTTTTATCAGCCTACACAAAAGACCTGAGCTTTGCGTTGGCTTTCTACAACTTTAAAATTTCATATTGGCATGAGTGACTCGTTTTTGGTTGATTCATTCCCGGTGATTCATACCATAGTCACCTTTACTTGCTGTTCTGTTCCTACATCTTGATTCCTCGAGATTCTGATCCTGTATCTATGTACACATTGTATGCTATTTTAAAGCAATTATGTGATGAGTGTCAAATTAGGAGTATGCTATGTACCAATAAATTGGCGTTAGATGCCTCTTATACTGTCTCCATTGTGAGTTTTAATGCTACTGCAAATTCTTCATTAAAAGAATGTTAGGCCATTGACATTTTTTTTGTTAAGATGGGATTGCACTGTTCTCTTCCCTCTTATTTCCCTGAAGAATTCATTGGTTCAGCAACAGAAAGACAATCCCATGTCTTTATTGTCATAAAAATATTTTAAAGTGAGAACGGTAACATGACCTTCAGTCTCTCAGCTTTTTACAGTAAATCTGCCTTTTATAATTTGTAACCAAAAAAAAAAAAAATCTGCCTTTATAATTTATATTGGTGAACTCAGTGATCTTGGTGAAGTATGGTTATAGATGTTGGGCAATATTTCAAGCTAACCTGCCAGTTTTTTTTTTTTTTGAGCTAACCCCCGAGCCAACTCGTAAGCAATATTTCGAGTTAATCCGCGAGCTTTTTTTCGAGCCTTTTCGAGCTAACCCGCGAGCCAACCCTAATCTGGCTCGGGTTGGGCTGGGTTGAGTTTTCTGACTCTTTTTTTTTCCGAGTCAACCCTAACCCGACTCGTTTTTTTCAGGTTGAATACGGGTCGGGTCGGATTGAGCTGGGTTGGCTCATTTTGCCAACCCTACCTACACCTTTATATTTTTTGGTCCATTCTCTCTTTTCCTCTATCTCTTTCTTTCTCTTATTTAGAAAGACACAATTTTATATTCTTTAAGATCACACACATTTTTCCTATAAATTAAAGACAAACAATTAAAAGCATTTAATAGTGGGCTAGCTGTGTAAAGACTAAAGAGGGATAAAATTATATTATATTAGATGATTTAGATTTCATATTTTAAATTTGAAAATAAATGGGGCATGTGCAAATATGCATATTAGAGGCAAGTGGGGTGACCTTACCTCATTTGATCGAACTTCCATTTATAACAATTGCTGAGTTCGAGTTCCATTTATACCAATTTCATGACATTAGTTCGAATTAAAAAACCTTTATTGATGAGCAATTTATAATCTCATTATAAATTTATGTTGAAATTGATAGATGATCCTCAGTTCCTGACATTCGAATGGGAAAAGCCTTCAATACCGTATTTTTTATTTTATTTTTGAAAAGAATGTATTAACTGTGGGCTAATCATATGAAGAATGAAGTAAATTAATTATAATTAAAGTTATAAAAGAAATTAATGTTTTGCCAATAAAAAATGACTGTAAAGGTGATATGTAACTTTAGCCCTACCGTAATAAACACGATTTTATATAAGGTAAAGGATTTCTCCGATCAATGGAGATAAGTAATCTTCAGTAAATTCAAAACGACGACGTTTTGTGATGAAAATCAAAGTATTTTTGCAATTATAATATATTACAGGATTATATTAGTCTTTATAATTATAATTTTTTAATCTTATAACTCCAAAACGACGTCGTTTTAAGCTCACTGGAGATAATTTTATCTCCAGTTACTGAAGTAATACTTTTCCTTTTTATATAATAGTATTATATTATAATATAGGGAAAAGTATCTATGCTTTTGAAGGATGTAACACTACATCATTTTAAATAAAACGCAGCGTTTCGTTTGAAAAATCAATTTATTTCTTTGTTCCAAATGTATTGTCCCTTCTCATCTCTCTGCAACCAAGTGGTATTCTTTCCCCTCACTCAAAATTGTTTTTCCCTCATTCTCTTTTCCATTCTCATAGTTGGTTTTTCTTCGATTTCGTTCTCACCTAAACACTTTGATAAAACCATCGATTCAAATTTATCTTGAAGGCGGAAAGAGATGCTGCAATAAACATCAAGCAAAGGAAACACAAAAATAGAAGATTAGCAAATACCACCAATGCAACCAATAGATGAAAAGGTAAAATCAAAAACCCTATTTCTATTTCATGACACTTGACGGACTTTCTTTTTTGGACTTTGATTCATGTTATGCGTATATCTGATTGTGCTTACTTCCCAATTTTTTTTTTCTCTTCTTCTTTTTTCCCCATTTTTAGAGCTGTGAAAATACTTGATGGAGGATATAGGAGTTGTCAGGCAAGTTGAGGTGTCTGAATTTTTACAGGTTTGATTTTTGTCCCTCTATTTAATTTTTTTTTTTGGGGGGTCTTCCTTAGCTCCTATTTTGATAGCATTAAACTTTGCAGCTTTGGCATGGTTTTTTTCTATTTTTTATTTTCAGCTTCTCATTAATCAATTAACGCACCATGTTTAATTTGGCAAATGAAATAGAATTGTATATGTGTCTATGGTTTCCCCTTTGCTGCTGTATTAACATATTTTGATGGCTTTCAAGTTTGCAACTATTTCATGAGTTTGTTTTTAGTTTTCATATTACATCAACAAAACCCAAGTGCAATTATTTCAACTATGGGTGTGATATTTTTTTTAATCAAATATGACTTATTAATTAAATAATTCTTTTACTGATGATATCCTCTACATCAAATATGATTTATTTCAACTAAGGTGTTTTATTTTTTGGTCTTGTGAATATAGGTTGTGTGCAAAACTATCAATTTTATCTGATTTTACAAATGTCTAAGAAGTTTGACAAGATATTAAGGCATCACATTAGAATTACTAGAGTGTTTCAGTGCATCAAAATTCAATTGAGAAAGACAATCATGAGTTTGTTATAATGGATCACTCCCAAATAATAACTATTGAAGACATTGACGTGAGTGGGAGTTTATCACGTTATGATGATGTTGTTGATTTGGAGAAAGACACTGATGAGTTTGTTGATGATGATAAGTGTGAAATTATGGAAGATGAAGATGGTGATCATGTGCAAAATGATGTACTTGAAATTGTGGGAGATGATATCAATGAATTTAGTGAGACTAGTTTTTTATGTAGGGTCTTTGGGACATCAGAAGAAGCTTATGTTTTTTATAATGATCATGCAAAAGGTAAGGGGTTTGGAATACGTAAGCAATTTTTTAACAAGAGTGCAAGAACACAACAAATATATAGGTGGAGATATGTGTGTTCGAAAGAAGGCATCAAGAAAGTGAATGATAAAGTAGTTAAAAGGCGAAGGGATACAAGGACTAATTGTTTGGCGATGTTACAAATAAAGTTGGTGGATGGAGTATGGAAAGTGGAGAAGTTCAATGATACACACAATCATCCATTGATTAACACTCCATCAAAGGTGAAGAAGTTTTCTTCTCAGAATGAATTACGACGCTCAAAGTTTACTAAATCTCTTGTTTCTATGCTTTCTGAGGAGGGTTTAACTTCTTCAAAAATCTCAAAGGTGGTGAATGCTATGGACAAAGAAGTTAATATTACTCCAGTGCAAATCTCCACTATTATATCAAGCCAACGAAAGAATAATGTGGGGCGAGAATGTCAAGGCATCATTAAACACTTTCAAAGGAAGTCTGTTCTTGATGGATCTTTTTATTTTGATATGCATTTAGCCGAAGATGGAACATTAAGAAGCGTATTCTGGGCGGATGGTAGGTCAAGAGCAGCATATGTTCAATTTGGTGATGTTCTTGTGTTTGATGTGTCTTACCAAACAAATAAGTTCAAGTTTCCCTTTGCCCCTTTCGTTGGGGTTAATCACCATGGGCAATCAATTTTATTTGCAGCCGCTTTGTTAGAAGATGAAACAGAGGCAACATTTACATGGTTGTTTGAACAATTTCTGGAATGTATGTTTGATAAGTCTCCTATTGCTATTATCACTGATCAAGACAAAGCTATTGGAAAAGCAATTGCCAAAATATTTCCAAAAGCACGACATCGTTTTTGTGCGTGGCACATGAAAAAACATGTTATGGAACACACTCAAGCACTACGCTCACAATTTAAGGAGAGTTTTGATGTTGACTTTCGTGCATGGTATAAAAGTCGAAGCATTGATGAGTTTGAAGGCAGTTGGGAATCATTGAAGACTAAATATGATATTAAAGAAGGAACTTGGTTGGCTAACATGTATGTTTCACGTCATCATTGGGCAAAGGTATATTTGAAAGATACTTTTTGGGCTGGAATGACCACAAGTGGCCGAAGTGAGAGCATCAATGCTTTTTTTGATGGATACGTCAACTCCAACACAATGTTAAATGACTTTGTTACTCAATATGACAAAGCAATTAAGAGTAGGAGGGATGCTGAAGAAGATGAAGATTTTAAAACTAGAAATACAAAAGCAATTTTGGAGACTACTCATCAAATTGAAGCAATAGCTGGTGAGCGTTACACAAGAAAAATATTTAATATATTTAAAAAGGAGTGGATGGAAGCTGTTCTTCATTATGAGCATGAAAAGATTTTAATGAATGAAGATCTAATCAGGTACAATTAGGAGTATATGTTAAATTGATGCAAAAGATTTTAAATGGTTTTCTTTGATCTCATTTTCTTTTAGGTACAAGGTGGGGTCTCACGAAGTTGATAAAGAGTGGTGGGCAATTGTTGACTATCATTTGACAGAAACCTTCACAGCTGATTGTTCTTGTGGAAAATTTCAGACTATGGGAATTTTGTGCAAACATATTCTATATATTATGAGGAAGAAAAAATTAAAAACCCTTCCTGAAAAATATATTTTGTCTAGATGAACCATGAATGCAAGCTATAAGGTTGAAAATCTTGTAGGTGATCATGCTGATACACCCACTAAGGAAGTTAGTGCATTGTTCTTGTGGTCGCTTCACTCCAAGTGCAATATGGCTATTTCCGAAGCAAGAGATTGTATGTCTGAAATTAGAAAGTTTGATGATTTTCTTGCTGACTTTATTAGACAGCAACTGGAAAGAAAGAGAAATATAATTGAAGATGAAGCAATTCCCCAAGTTGTTCCTTCACTAACTCCCGAAATTCTTTCACAAGTTTCACTCATTAACTACGTGCGTGATCCCATGCATCCAGTCAAAACTAAAGGGCGTCCAAAGGTTGCTTCACGATTGAAATCAAGCATTGAGTTGATTTCAAAACAACATAAGACTTGTAGTTATTGTGGAGGAAAGGGTCACAATAAAACCAGTTGTGAGAAGCGCAAGGTATTTCTTTATAGATGTGTTTTCAATCTTAAACTTGATAATGAGTTTATTCTAATTCATTTGTAGATGGATATTGCAAGAGAGAAGCAAAAGGAGTAGTTTTATTGCACATATATTAGCTATTGTATTTTGGTAAGCACCAATTTATTACGAACAATTTTTAGATATTCTAATTTCAAATTATGAGTTCAAAGCTGCTTATATTTTTATTTATTGTGATTTTTCAGGTACAAAGATAACTATTTGTCAGGTTGGTGACATTTTTTGTAGAAGATTTTTGGATGGGATATTTTTTGTAATGTAGTTTTGTCTATAAATTAGTAGTGATCCTATAAATTAATAGTGATCCCCATTTTGTATAAGATTTTTGGATGGGATATTTTTTGTAGGATCACTTTTGTCTATAAATTAATACATTGATCCTATAAATTAATAGTGATCCCCATTTTGTAGAAGATTTTTCAGGGGATTTTTTTGTAAAGTAGTACATTGATCCTATCAACCATGAAAATATCCTTTGTTGAGGAACCAATAGTTGCTGGAACTCAATCGATTATGGAGCCACGGTGTAGGAACCAATAGTATATAAGTCAAAAGAAAATGACCCCAAGACAATAATTGTACTAAAATAAACCAAAGCAATATAAAGAAGGTAATCAAACTCGGGCAAATAGTATTTTTGCTGATAGTATATAACTCTGGTAATTCTAATGAAATGGTTTAAAGGAGTGATGCTTCAATAATGATACACACTCTTCACATTTAAGCGGAAAGGGGGATTAGGGATGGTTGATAGGAGAAGCAAAACCTATTGTCCACGTTTTGTGAGAAGATCAATTTGACTCTTGTAATCATTATCATCGTACCACACTATAACTTCAAATCTACCAAAAATAATCTGATATCAAGTTCAATATAGAATGACCATCAATTTTATATTTGAGGTGCAATTTCTCCGAACAAAGAGACATGGAATCTGTTTTTAATAATGGAGACTTATAATCTATATAAAAACGTATATTATATGATGCTAATTCAAATAAAGGGACAAAAATCAAATCTGTAAAAATTCAGACACCTCGACTTATCCTCCATCAAGTATTTTCACAGCTCTAAAAATGGGGAAAAAAGAAGAGAAAAAAAAAATTTGGGAAGTAAGCACAATCAGATATACGCATAACATGAATCAAAGTCCAAAAAACAAAAAAAAAGTTTGTCAAGTGTCATGAAATAGAAATAATGGAGTTCTAATCCAGAAAATCATTCAGAGTATCAATTTGAATATGTGGAAGTCCTATCTGATTTTGATGAAGATGTTGGCATTAAAGTTGCTTATGTTGGCAAAGTGAAAGGGTTTGTTAGTCTCTTTCTGCAAAATGTGCAGTATGGAGTTCGCTTATTTTGTGTTCCACCTAATGAGTTATATAGGTTCTCGCATCAGATTCCTTCATATAAGATGGCTGGTGATGAAAGGGAAGAAAAACCAACTATGAGAATGGAAAAGTGAATGAGGGAAAAGCAAGTTTGAGTGAGGGAAAAGCATACCGCTTGGTTGCAGAGAGATGAAAAGGGACAATAGATTTGGAACAAAGAAATGAACTGATTTTTCAAACGAAACGCTGCGTTTTATTTAAAATGATGTAGTGTTACATCCTTCAAAAGCACAGATACTTTTCCCTATAATATATTAGACATTTTATTGTTTAAAAATTAAAAATTAAAAATAAATTTTTTATGTTAATTATTAAGAAAATTTATAAAAGGGGAAAATGAACATAACTTTGTTTCTCTTTAAGTATTTCATAATAATATCGAATCATTTTTTTTTATCGAAATTATTTTTTATTTTTTTAATTAGCTAAATATTATAGTGAAATATTATGTTTTACTTTAAAAATATAAAATTATATTCTTTAAAAAGATAAATATTTTTTCCTATAAGAAAAGGGAGATCAATTGCGATTTATGTTTTGAAAAAAAAATATAAAACAAACATTTAATGGTGAAAAAATAATTTTAAATTACACATTTGCTGAGAAAAAATGTAGCTGTAAGTCATTATCAATCACTTTTTTTTAGGGGGTTACCAAGGGGGTCAAGCCGTCAAGGAGTGGAAATGTAGGTTGAAGTAAACCTAAAACAACCTCAATGACGCCACTAAAACTAAGGGCTGTTGAAGAATGTTATTCATCGTCAAATGATTCAAATCCTTTTTTTTTGTTATTGGTCCACATGGTTGAAGCAAAAGCAATGATTAGGGAGATCCAGATCCAAGGGCCAAGGCCCAACCCAAATTTAAAGTTCGTTCTTCCCTGCGAGGCTACGGTTGAACGAACCACCGTCCACAGCCATGTGTAGTTGAGTTGGGCAGTGGCTTTGCCTTTTCGGTTTAAGCTAAAGACCCATTTGATTCAAACAACTGTTAACATCGGCATTACTACCCTGCAAGCAAGGGACTCTTCCAACGTTGGCATTACTATCCCAATTCTTCCGGACAGGTGTATATTATTTTATGCTTTATACAAAAAAGTAAGTGCTACTGCCCCAAATGCAACATTGCCGATTAATCAGGCACGTTTGTTACGGGAGAAATTTTTTTAACCAGGTAAATACGATTAGTGGGAAAATAGTTGTTAAAGAAAAATAAGTGAAAAAATTTTAAAAATGTTGTTTAGTAGACCAGAATATTATCAGAAAAATTGTATAAAATTTACTGTGACAATGTTTGGTTGAAAGTAAAAGATTGATGGAAAAATATAACAAATATCAAAAATACCCCTAAATATAATAATAGACACTAGTAATGATAGCCTCGTGGCACAATGGGAAGCAGAGAGCAAACAATTTTCTCCATTGTTAAGTCTCACTTCTCTTTGAGAACCTTCGAAGATATATATCTGGAACACTCCTTGTATGAGATGGCCACAACAGATGAATATGATGAACCTGAGATTGCAACTAGTGATTCTTCAGAATCAGACTTGATGTGGCAATCACATGCATCTAAACCAACCAGCATTTCAAATGGATTAGGCTCTAAAGCAAAGAAAATGACTAATTATCCAAGAACAGCACAACCATCAAAGAGTATGATCCCATCATTAATTCCTACACCATCAAAGAGGCAACTCACACAAGTTAATCAAGCCAGAAAGCATACAGGAATATCCATTGATGTAAAGAGGAAGAACTCTTTTGGAGCGAAATGTTGGAGCTGCTTCAGTAAAAACTCTTTTGTCCTTTTTTTAAGCAAATCAACAACCACAAATCAGAGGGGCATTTGCGTAACTAAGTTGGCGTCAAAATTATGACTTTCCTAGCTTTCTCATCATACCACCTCCAAGAAGGTCTTCTCCAACAGTGCAGAGTGTTCCTTTTTACACTGAAACTGGGTTTTGATGGGGAAACGTCATGCCCTGCTTTATTTCTCAAAAACGTGTATCAAATGAGTATGTCTCATTTCTTCACTTTGACTTACCCATCTATCCCCTCAAAAACCACCTACCAAACACCCCCTAAAGAAGGATACCCTGGTGATGATGGATTTTGGAAAGAAAATGATAGAAAGCTAAAATTTTCATTTTAAATAAGTATTCTTTGATTTATGAATTTTTTACTATGAAATGAATAAGAGCCTCTTTGTTTTCTTCCAAAATCATATTTGAGGCCCGAAAACATTAGTCGTGAATGTTTGGGTAATTTTTGGGATTTTAAAATCATTCCTATAGAATTAATTTTTTTAAAAAACATTTATATTTGTACTTTAAAATTGATTCTACTTTGTTAGTAGGTTTGGAAAAAATGAGTCAATCCATCGGGTTAGCTTGTAACCCGGCTAACATGAGTCGGGTTGAGTTAGGAAAAATGAGTTAGTAACTCGAGTCAGCTCAACTCGTTTCAACTCGAAAAAAATCGAGCCAACCCACAAGTCAAACGGGTTGGCTCGCGGGTTATGGTTTTTTAAATATATAAGTATAAAAATTAATGAAGGTAAAACGGAAAGCTAAAAATTAAAATCTCAATTCCAAAGACTCAAATGAAAATACCCTAGAGCTGCCAATAAGTCCAAAACCGTGCATTAAGGACCTTTTTATAGTATGTGTGACAATGTGAATATGGTGCTAACTTCCAATAAGTCAAAGTCCAAATGCAAAAAGAATTTTCTATGATTTATTTGTATAATGTCTTTGTATTGAATGAATTAATAATTTAGGAGAAAAAATTAGAAGTTACAGCATTAATGAAATTTTATTTTATTTTTTATTTTTTCGAGTTAACCCGCGAGCCAACCCTAACCCGGCTCGTTTTTTTCGGGTTGAACACGTGTTGGGTTGGGTTGAGCTGAATTGGTCCGTTTTGCCAACCTTATTTATTATACAAACGACAATTCTTCTAAATTCACTTTTAAAATATCATTTTCAAACACAAATTAATATTTTTAACATAAATTCTTTGAAAAAATTTCACTAGCGTTTTTAAACCCTAATTTTATAAATTCAAAAATGAAAATTTTATGGTCTCTTCTGTTTAATAAAGGGTCTAAGATGTTTAAATTACCCTTCATCTTACATCTAGATCCAGCCCTGTTTGCAAAAACTATTTCGGTGATTGCATGGCATGCATTATTTCAGTTCATATATTGTACTGTGTTTATGAAATAACTTGCTATGGACTTGCACTCTAATTGTAAAAAGAGAATAATAAAATACTTACACCTACACTACCTTGCATATTAGTGCTGTGTATGATGTGTAATGTGTCTACATATATTATTTTCCATCATGGGAGAAGAAGAGAACGTGAGGACACTTAAGCATAGACAGGGATGGCAAAGTGGGCGGCAACCCGCCCCGCCCCGCCACACCCCTTCATCAACCTGTCAAAAAATGAATCAGCTCATCCCGCCCCGTTTGGTGGGTTGGGCAGGTTGATCCGCTAACCCGAGCCTATTTTACACTGACCCGTCCCGCTTTTTAGATGGATTGAAAAACTCAGCCCACCCCGCCCCGTTTAACGGGCGGGACGGGTTGGTCCGCCGAGCCGAGCCCGTTTTGTCGTCTCTAAGCATAGTCAGCCATTCCTGAATTAAAATTTCTCTTTATTACTAAAATAAAAAATTGCTCTTTTCTAATGCAATATGCATCACTTGCATGTTGGAAAGATTGAAGTGTAATAAACTAACAATATATATGAGGAATACCTCACTCTTCTCTCCTTGGCTGTTCCTCCAACTTCTTGATCATTTCCAAAAAAATCTCATTCCATGTGTCTATAGGCCCTGGTAAGCACCAATGAGCACAATCATTCAGCACAAGCTTCGGAACCCCATTAGCAAATGGAAAAGGTTTCGCGTAAGGACCGGGATGGCCATCTGGTCTTAAGAATGCTAATTTGGTTACATCCAGTACCTCAAATCTAAACCCTTTAAATTTATTGGCTTTTTCCTTAGCATTTTCCACTTCTTCTATCGCAATCTGTCTTATGGCAGCATCCATTCCTCCAAGTGGCTTCTCACTTTCTCTATAAGGCTCAGTCTTTGAACAAGTACCACCCTTATCCCATTCACCTTCAAAATGAGCAGGTGAAAATGTTTTCACAATTACATCAATTCCATTTCCTTTAGCAACCTTCCTCTCAATTATGGTATTAAGAGTTGTCCTTAAAGCCTTTCTCAATGGAACATAAAAATCAATCTGAGTATGATTAAGATCATGACAGTTTAGGCTACCTAGAACTGAACCACCCTCATAGTAAACTGAAGGAACCAAAAACCAAAGCCCAAATGACACCACAATCAAGTCCATATGATCCATATCCTTAGCCCACCTCTCATTAACATGATCCAAATACATTGTATTATAATATTGCCCATCATTTGAGCTTTCAATACCTTGTACAAGAAATGGGGACCAATACAAGGAGAAATTTACATTGTGAGAAGGGAAGTGCCACCGACCGAATTTTTTATTCTTGCCTTTTACGTAGACAAGGTCAGGGGTTGAAACAGTGGTTAACAAGCAAATAAGGGACTCTAATTGGTTCCTAGCAAGAGAGTCACCAACAAAAGCTACATGTCTGTTCTTAATGAGTTGAAGAAAAGAATGAGGTTCAAACCTTGGAAGATTACACTCACTTGGTTTCCATCTCCAGTATAGATAACCTGAGTCAGGCCTTCCATTTGTGGTACATTTCTCACTTTCTTTGATCGTACCACATGTTGTAACATTGTATAAAGGACCTCTAATGTCACGAACCCATTCACCATTAGAGAAATCACATGGGTGGTTCTCATAAGCGTTGTCTTTTTCTGCAAAAATTAAATATAAAAAATTAAGTCTAGTAAACCAAAAAGTCCTTGTAAAGAACCTTGAGATCAACATCCTAAAAACTAGCTCAAAGGGTGGGAGTGCCCAAGGCCTTAAATTATAAAGGCCACATTAGTTGCATATACAACCAATGTGGGACTATATATCTCAACACATCCCCTCATACAATAGTCCATTGGGC